CTGAACATATGCGCAAATTAATCTAAGGTTTACATATATAAGTCTTGTATGATCTATTCTAACAGCATATGCATTTGCTACTGCTATATCAGTGTAGGTGATCAACTATTTAGTTTTAAACAGAAAACTATCAAGCCTGTTTCCACTTTGTTGTATTGTAGATGGAGACAATATGATCAGCACAACTGAAACACTGAGGATCGTTTGGTTGGAAACAAGTTATCCCAATATTAGTTATCCCGGGATTAGCTATCCTGGGATAACTTATCCCACCATGTATATGGGATAACTTATCCCATCACTATGATATAAATGATGGAATAAGTTACCCCAAACATAGCAACCAAACAAGATACAAATTTTTTATCCCATCACTATTTATTTTTATCCCTCACACCAAACGACCCCGAACCCGAAGGTGAAACAAAACACAGAGAAAAATATTGACTGTAATAAGAAGATTATATAAGTCGAATAAGAAAGACAGCATCATATAACTTTGATAAAAACATCAAAGAGGAGTTACTCTGAAAATCTGCCATCACCTGAGAAGACGAAAGAAATTAAAGAAAAAATTTCTTAATAAAAAATGAAAAAACTTTAAGTTTATATGGTGGACAGAATTACCTGGAACTTGTGTATTGGAGGAGGTGATAAGTATCTCATGGAATTAATGGATAAAAAAAATAGCTTTGATGTGAAACCACAAACAATAGTTCCCTTTCCATAAAGGTAAGACTTTGACAACTTCCAATACTATATTAGAAGCAACTCATTGATTCTATTAAATACAATCACAACAGTGTAATAACATAGCTACTTATGATCTTGCACATGATAACTAAAAGCAGAAGTCATAAACATTACACACACGGAACAAAATTTAGGCAAAATTAATGACGAAATGGGAATTACTTGAAGCATAGTTATTGATTGTCCTATCTAGATATATTTTTATTTAGTTGTTAGAAGTCGGTTAGGCACGTGTAGTTAGTTTCCAGCTGTGTATAAGCCTATATACTCTACAGTGTGTATCTTTGTAACACAATTCATTCTTTTAGTAATAAAAAGTTTCAGTTTCCTCTCATTGCTTAGCTCTCTCAAATAGCTAACAATGGTGTTTGAGAACTGTTTACATACAGAATTCATCAATTGATATCTAACATTTTAGATAGCTCAACTGAGAAAATTGAAAAAAAAAAGGCTGAAAAAGATTAACAAAAGAAAGGAATTCAATGTTGAAGAAAGAACAAGCATGAGTCTAAGTATGAACTTGATAAGTTTGAAAGAGAACAGAAAGAAAATGATAGCGATAAAAACTTACCGGAAACTTTAACAGAAGAGGACCAAAGTAAGCAATCCTATTCTAAGTTGGAACAGAAGATGTCTTTCTATTTATTTTGTTGGAACAGAGGAGACCCGATTCTTCTAGAAGTATATTAGAAAAGTAAGAAAGTTTTTTTTCTCAAGCAAAATGACTCTTTTGCCCTTGGTCGTCCTAGTTGGCTTCACTCTTCTATATAATAGTAATATAGTGTTTAGGCTTAAAATTAAGTTGGAGTTAAACACTTTTGTCCCTTTTTGGTTATTGCCATGATGATTACGTTTATATTTTATGTTTGATTTACATCTATAATAGGTATACTTATAGGTATTGTGTTTTAAGTTTTACTTTGATTTATATTAGAAAGTATATTTAAGGGATTAAATATTATTACTTTGGTTATATATGTTATTAATTATTGACATAATCGAATAACTAAACCGAAAAAAACCGAACCGAATAGAGAAACACCAAACCAAACCAAATTTATTTTGGATCAGATTGGGTTACAGTTTTACAAAACCAAAAACCAAAAATCAAAAATCCAAACCAAATAGTGTAAAACCAAACGAAAAAACAACTGCACGCCCCTACTTCTAGCAAAGGTTCAAGGTATATTTTGATCTTTTTCATACAAAAAAATAATTTTTAACTTCTTTGATTACCATTATTAGAGTTTTTTTTCTTTCTTTTTTTCCTTTCATTATTTAGTGTAAAGAAAAAATTTAAAACTAATTTTTTGCAGCTATATTGTAATTTAGTTTTTGTATTTGTAAAAAATAAATAAAAAATAAAACATCTATAATAAGATTTACAAGAAATTAGTGAAACATAAATAAATTTGAACATCAATATAATAAACTTAAATTAGTCATAGATGCAAAATAGTCAAAAAAAAAAAAAAACCGTGTAATGAGGATCAAATATAACCATATGAATTTAATTAATATATTAAACTATAATTAATTTTTTCATTTCCGAGAATATGTGAGTTATTTCTATAACAACAAAAAAATATTTATGAGTAACTTTCATAACAAGAGTAAATCAGCTCTAAATAACAAAATTGAGAGATAATATAGACCCTTTTCCCCTTATATAATAAGAATAAGAAATCTATAAGCAAAAATAAAAAACAAAAATCTTTATTTTTTGAAAAATTCTTCATTGAGCTAGTCGACTTTCATGCGTAAATTCCCAGAGGGAGTAAATAATGATTATGCAGTAATTCAATCATATTTGTTAAGAAATAATATTAAATTTCAGACAACTTTAACATCAACACAAATAAATAGAAGACAAGAGTAGCTTAATCAAAACTTCAAGATGCTAAATAGTTAACAGGATCCAGGTGGATTCGAACCACCGCCCTCTCAATTGCATACGCATTGAGCGCTCCTCCAGTGGCCGAGCTCTTGGATCCATCCATCCAGTAATAAATATTTCAACCCAGTTCTAATCACCATCGTTAATAATTTTTTAAAATAGAGTGAACGCATAAAAAATTGTACACAAAATATAAAAAATTGTACCACTAAAATATACCGTGTGCTTTAAATCCTCATCAACAACGATACAAAGATAATCCTAATAATTCCCATTTAAAAATTGTGAGACATTACCTAACTATAATCAAGGCTGCCTAGTATAATAGGTTACCTAGTGACTATGTTCTGTATATATTAGGTATCTCCAATATTAGGAGGAACACTTCTGAAAAGAAATTTGGGTAAAATGAGATTCTCCTACAATTGAACAGTAAAATTCACAAAAATCATACAATTTAAATGATTTTTAGTTAGAATTCTTATGTGGCAAGTCAATGCTTTTGTTTGACCTTTCGGGTGTATGTAGCAAGTGAATGTTCATAAACGGTGAGTTAAAAGTATAAAATATAGAAAAATAAGCGTGTTATACTATAAAGCTATCTTAACCACATGACAACAAAAAGAAAAACAAAAAGCTGAAACCTTATATGATGGGTTTATAATTTAAATGTCCAAGGGAAAAATGATATTTCCCCTTTTAGATCAAGAAAAAATGTGACTAACAGCGAATTAATTAGTGACACAACTGAATAATAAGCATAATAACCTACAAGTGAACATTAGAGAACACATTACCTCAACAGACGATCCAGTAATCAAATATATCAGATGACAATATTTCCTTGTGGTAAATCTTCAGTGAAGAGAAATCTTAACTTGCACAATATACATAGCACAAGATGGTAAATAACCCCACTATTCTGCCTACACAACAGCAACTTCTCAAATAAGGCATAATAATTAGTTGCAACCATACTCCATCACAGACCGCCTGCTTCAAAAATGTACACATAACTCAAACAAATAGATCAAGGACAAGAATAAAATGGTAAACTCCCCCCTTCTGCAGGAAGGACTGATCTTACTTTCTCTGAGAAACAGCATAGAAAATGTATACAGCTTTGGATGACAGTACCAAGATTCACTTAGGAACTGAAAATCACAGCCTCAGCAACTCAGCCAAGGAACACACATAGCTGTCAAGCCATGTTTCCAATAGTCATCCTAACACACTTGCAAGATGCTAGCTAATCCAACAGACATCCAAACAGAACAAATTGGCTGACAATTGGGTTTGCTCACTGTGTATTCCAAGTGAAGATGTGGTCCAGGTAAAGAGTTGATAGTTTTACATAATATTTGATTTCAGCAGTAGTATGATAGCATAGCAAACAGGAAATTCCAAGTGAGTGTGATCTAGTAAAAGGGTCCAAAAGTACAACATAATAATCGATTTCAGCATGGAGCAGATCCATTGCAGTATAACACAGCAACATCCAGGTCAATCAATGATTTCACTTGAGGCAAAAAGCTTAAACTCTCCAGCATGCAGAGAGAACCAACCAGCTGAGGAACAACCATCGTACAAAAGTATCTCAAGCGCCATGAACTTACTGAACCATACCACAATATACATTCACCCTCTAGGATTACAGAATGAGCTCAACAAGAGACTCCATTGAAATCCACTATTATAAATTATTACATCAACAAGAAAAAAACGTGAAGATAGTTCCACTGCCTTTAAATAATTACGATGTATTGAAATTTTTGCACTGATGATAAATAAATAACAGGCAATCATGTACACAGATTTCTTTTGCAATAGTGACAGATATTGATTAAACTACTGTTAATTTAACAGACTGAACAAAGATATTGAAAATGGATGATTCATCAAGTTATAATCTAGACTCATTTGATAGACCAATTGATCAGTGGCACGCTTAAACGATCATAAAAGGGTAATCAGTATCTCAAACCCGAATTTTCAGATCGTCAAAATTGCAAAACCTCATTTGGAAAACTAGTTTACTCATTCCAGATGTAATTATGATACAGATGTTAGTTAATAATTATTCGCAAACAGAGAAATTATCTTATATTTTTGTGAAGTAGGTAGACTTAAATTAAACTGTTCAATTATTCAAAATAAATCATTTTGCTATTTCTTTTGATAAATAAATCAATAGTTAGAAGTAGACTGAATTAACTCAATTGAGGTTAACAATTTTGCTATTTCTTTTGATAAATAAATCAATAGTTAGAAGTAGACTGAATTAACTCTTATGAGGTTAACAATATTACTACCTGTACTCAGAGACAATTAAAAATTTTACGGACTATTGGCAAGGCTTATTTACTAATGGAGAGAACATAAGCTATTAAAGTTAATGTCAAAGTTAGTGAAAGGAATTCATAAGTGTACCTTTGGTAGGAGTGTGGAGCTGAATAATCCTAGAATACGCCTGTCCATTGTTGTATTAAGAGTGCATGATATACCTATCCCTTGAAAAGGTAGAGCGCTGCTATAACTTGACAGATAACCAAACCATCGTTCGGGGACATTAACGCCAAATTTGATGAGACGTTTATCTGAGTAGATGTTGCAGACAATTCTAGAAAACAGAGAAGGGAGGCCAAAGACAAGACACAGAGAGGAGAGTCGGGCTAAAAATCCCGTACCATCTCCCCTCCAAACACAAAAATCGCATCTTTATTAGGTTTTGTGACCTGCCATGCGAGCGCACCCGGCATGGCAAAGGCCGGTAAACAACAATAAAGAACCTCACATATCCTCTCTTTTCTCTACGATCTCATTATTTCCTCATACATATGCATGCATATCAGTAAAACTAATGCAAATTTTAATAATTAAGCTGAGAATAGACAACAAATTTAACTATGATAACCTTATCTAACAACCTCAAGCTTGCCGATTACCATCCCTCGAGATCTAGCATAAATAGAACACCAGTGATATCCAATCGCACCGAGCTCTACAGAGATACAGTAAAATCACCCGATTGAAACGATGATAACCTGCAGCAACCAGAAACACACAACAGATGTCAATCAACATAATTAGATCCAAAATTCTAGATAAATACAGATACAAGAAGCATAGCAGCTCACCGACAAAACTATATCCGCGAACAACGAAGCCTCCACCAATTGAAGGTCAAAAAATCATCTCAGATCACCGAGAACTCTCCTTGAAAAGGCCATACATCTCTCAATCTCGTAACAAATCCATCAGATCTATCCAATCTTCATCTAGCCGATAGCATCGTCCATGGTCCGAGCAATATTCATACCGACAAAACTCAGAAATGATAGATCGGCAAACGATCTAAACAAATCTGAATTCATAACCATTTCGCAGGGAATCGATGTCCGATACAAGTCGAAACCATACTCGAACTGTAGATCGGCGAACGATCTACATGGATCTGCGTACCGATTCAGAAGCAGAAAAATGACGATGAGTAGATCTGGAGATGAAAGATGTTCCGGGAAGAGGAGAGAAGATGATACTGGAATGCGAGTTGATGAAGAAATGATGCGTTCTTTTATAACGGGGCTAGGATGATCGGACGGATGAGATTGAATGAACTGATGGATGATGAACGGTTGAGATGCGTTGACTGTGTCGTAGTGCTAAAGGCAGGCGATGAGTAAATTACGGAAATATCTATGTGGCTGTTGATAGCTGGTTTTTGACTAGGACAGATAATCTTTGTAACGTGTTAAACGACACGCTTATTTGTTTTTTCCGTGTTCGATATCTATATTAAAGTCTAATTAAATTAAATTTTGCATCAAAAAATCTCGAGTCAAAGAGTAAAATACTCCAAATAAAAGTAACTCACTCAAGGAAATTCGAATCCCAAATCTCAAATTAGAGATAAAAAATAGAGAAAATTAATCGGTTAAACAAACATATACTATTTAAATCAACTAACATAGCTATAGTTTCCATTAATTACCACTCACGACTTAATTTTAGTTATAATTATGTGTGTCTCTCTCCTCTCTTGTACATATACAAATACAGATTGATATGGTTGTATACAATTTATTCATTGATTTAAATTGTATTTCGTTAGTACTATTGTATTCATTGATACATACATATTAAGTATATATATACAATTATGCAGATATACAAATACAATAATTGATACATATGTATATGAGTTACATATATACAATTATCTGACAGATATACAAATACAATTCGCCTCTATCCACTCTATGTCCTCTCTCGCTCGCCTCTCTCCCCTAACATATAGCTATAAATCATAATTAGCAAATTATAGCTATGAAACCTAATTAAATTTATTTTAATTACTATTTGTGAAAAAATGCACACCACTCTATCATTATTTTTTATTTTTATTGGTACATGTTTCACGCTTGTCGTTTCAGAAATAATCAATTCAAAATAATTGTAGGTAAGCAATTGATATAGAACTTTTTAATTTAACAACTTGATATTTGTTAGATTATATAACTTTTTTTTTTTTTGAATTGTAAAGCTAATTGTAAATTGTTTTTAAAACTATTTGTAATTTACTTGTAAGATATGAACGTACTTACAAAATCACTTACTTAATTTTAAGATTTTTTCTGAAATTGTACAAATACTGAATGAATGTTTATAATATAGTATTTATAATATTATTTAAAATTTACGAGAATTAATAATTACAAATTCAGTATAGTTTTAAAAACTAAATTTGAGAAAGACAGAGTATATACGAATCTTACCACTACTTTAAGATAAAAAAGTTGATTTCGAAAGATCATTAACTCGAATAACAAACATTTAAGTAACTAACATAACAATACAAAGATAAAAAGGACACAAAATAATAAAGACAATTTACCATAACATACCAAAGAGGGGCAATAACCATAACAAACTAAAGTGATAACCAAAGCACAGTAAATGACAAGGAATAACGATGGTCATAAGATATTCCAACTACAAGACAAATGCTACTACTATTGGTAAAAAGTAAGAATAGCAGATATAATGCTCCAATCTATCCTACTAGAAAATAAAATAACACTCGATTATCTATTAACTTTCCACCTTAATTTGCAATTTCCATAACTTTCTATCTAAGATCGTGTCCTAAAAAGGTTGAAGTTGTGTTATGTCATATTTAATCACATCTCTTAAATACTTTTTCGGCCTACCTCTAAAGCCCACCGCAACCAAACCTTTCACATAGCTTCGCTGGGACATTTGCGCACCTCCTTTTTACATGTTCGTACTATGTCAAATCTCACTTCCCTCATCTTATCCACCATAAAGGTCATTCTCACCTTGTCCCGAGTATCTTCATTCTTACTTGTATCTCTCTTAGTATGATCTAATCACACATTCACCTCAACATTCTTATTTTCTCTTCTCTTCTCTCATTCTTTGAACGTGTAGAATTTTAATTGGCCAACACTCTAATCCACATAACATATTCGATCTATTCACTATTTTATAATACTTTTCTTTTAAATTTATTAGCATAATTACTTTATATTTACTGTTCATGATGTTCAAAAAGCACCTCTATCAACAACTTCTTTCTTTTTGCTATGACTCGAAGCACCTCTAACCTATAAGCCAATCATTTTAAAAGATTATTTGTGTAACACAAATCTTTCTCGTAAATATTAATTCATTCACATGCATGCAGATCATTAATGATTTTAAATAAGACATTAGTTTATATAGCATGAAGTACATAAACCACATAATTCATAACTCTTAGAATACACGTAAAGAGGAAGAGATAGTAATCTTATTTTGTTTTTGCCAAGAATTGAACAGTTAGCCGTCTTAGCTCAGTGGTAGAGCGCGTGGCTTTTAACCACGTGGTCGTGGATTCGATCCCCACAGACGGCGAATAGTAATGATTTTTCTCTTCTATTTTGTATCAAGGATTTTTCTTTTGAAAATTGGAACCCGATACCTCTAATAAAGCATCAAATTTTTTTAACGTATATCATACGATTCATCTTTTTCTATTCAATCATTCGATATTTGAAGTACATAAAGTTCGAGAGGAAAAATTCTAATTAACCACCTTACCACATCACTTATATTCAAATATGAAAATGATACTGGAAAACAAGATGGTTGAAATAAAGTTGTATATCATTTGCTTTGCTTTTCTCAATGCAAGAAAGCAATTGAGATATTTTTTGCTTTAGACGTCCAATATTTCAAATTTAGTGGTCCGACTAATTGAACTCATCGATTCAATTAATTTGAATTCGTGTTGAACAGACTCATCAAAAGACTAATAATATGTTCGTCACTAAGAAATTCTTTATTCCTAATAAAAACTTACAAGTTACAAATAAACGATAATTACTAATTTTTAAATGCAAAAAGGTATCAAGAGAAGTCACATATTGTTTATTTGAAAAATACATTTGATAGCTAAAATAAGATATCAATGACAACATCAATGAGCTGACTTTGCTTTAGACACGCAAGTAAAAGTATATGCAAATTGAAATGACAACATTCACAAATAATAAAGTAAAGAATAAAATCAAATTTGTGTAACATTTGCTTGCAGTATAAGTTTTTTTTTTTTTAAGTATAAGTTAAAATAGGATAAAAATTATGAAATTATCTATTTTATATTAGTAATAAAATAAAAGATAAGTTGTCACGATATAATTATTTTCTTCAAACTTTAATATTGATAATCACGATAGTCCCCAAACTAGAGTATATTCTATGTTTTTTAAAGAATATTAGTATTTTAACGTGTTCAAGCATCATCGTGAATCACGACTATGGAATAAAATTTTTGCTTTGCTTTATTTAAATAGAATATTTTTATTAAAGTAGTTTAAAAGGAAGAAGGATAGAACATAATAGGGACTGCATTTCAAAGTCATAAAAATGAAAATGCAAATAATATTATAATTTAATTATCTATAGAAGATTGTTTGTCCATCAGTATTTTTATAAATTATTTTATTTCAGGATTAATTATTTTAGATAAATTATTTTATTATGTATATGAAATAATTTATTTCATCACTATGATATAATTGGTGTGGAATAAATAATCTAAGGGGTCGTTTCGTGTAATGGATAAATAAAAATAATCCTGGGATAATTTTTTAGTACCCTATTCTTTGTTTGGTTACAAAGTGTGGATAAGTTATCTCAAGATTAATAATTATGGTTGGGATAAGTTATCCCTATTTGTGGGTGGAATACTAATCCCGGGATAACTTATTCCAGGAGAAAAATATATAAAACAACAAAATTACCCTCTTGTATAAACAAACAACTTATTCTTAGATGATTTTTTTTTGTAAACACACAACATACTTTTAGAAATTATGTCATGCATATTTGATAAACCAAATAAAAAATAATTTCAACACAACTTATCCCATCATAATTAATTCTAACATAACTTATTTTCAAACCAAACGAGCCCTAAGTACTATTTAATACCTTCAACCAAACCACAAGATAAAATAATCTCTATATTTTATCCTAAAATTATTATACCTTAGCCCTCACGCCCGAACCACTCCTAATAGTTGCCAAAATCAAATTTTTAAAAATTCAAACCCAAAGTCACACTAGCAAAACAATATTATATCCAAAAAAAAAAAAAAGAGTAGGTAGATCATTTGGCGTGAGAATTAAGAAAACTAGCAAAAGTAAAAGTTGCAGTATCTAAAAAAGTTTGAAATTATTTATACCTTGATATATTCACAAGTATTTTTCACGATTTTTTTAATTTTTTTTTTCAATCGGCCAAAAAAAGATGTTGAAGGCATCAGTGAACGCTCGATATGAGACTGAAGCTGAAAAAGAAGCGGCAACCGGCGGCGCCACTGTAACTTTCAACGCCGGCGACTTTAAGCTCCGTGCTTCTATGACTGATGCTACAGTAATCAACGGTCCCAGCTTAAACGGCTTATCTCTCGCCGTTGAAAAACCTGACTCCTTCATCTTCGACTACAACGTCCCCAAAAATGTGCCGTGAATTTCTTCTCTTCATTTTCATGTTATTTGTTTTTATTATTATAATTATTTTAGTGCTAAATTTCAGTAGATCTTAGCTGTAAAATCGCCATGCCAGTTATAATTATCGGTGAATCTAAGCAAAAAATAGCTGAATCTGTCCAATTTATAAGATACATTTCGAATTTTGAGAGTCTAATAGTATAATTTTGACTGATCATTTGAGCATGATTTTTTTTTAAAATTTACATATTTGTAAATTATTTAAAAAGTCTTATAAAACACAATAAATTGAGACAAATAGAGTATTTGTTTTTGTGTTTTGGATAATTGTGATGTTTGGATCAACTTTCGGTTTACATTCCACCACCAATAGGTATAGACAGGTAGCTCTGTAAAATGTGAAGAAATTACCTAGTGTTTTTTTCTCGGTTGAGATTTGAACTTGACACCTTATGTTTCTCAATCGATATTATTGACCAGTAGGCCACACTAATTCTAGGTGTATTAGTGTTGATTGAGTGCTCGTATTTATTTTTCGTTTGTTAATGGTAATTTACATTGTTTACCAAAAAAAAAAGAAGTTATATTGAGTGGTTCAACGCTAACACTGGGTATGATGAACTGTTTTTTCGCGACGACAAGACTACTCTGCCACTTTCACATGAAACTGAACAAAACATTGCTGAATTAGCTTATTTTTTCGGTCTACGAATTGAAGCATTTTGAAAATTTGGAATGCTTTTCTTAACAGGAGGAAGAAAATCCAAAGAGTCCTCTTTTTATGTTTTGTACTATCATTTTTGTACTTGTTTAAAATTAGTATGGACTATTATTTACTGTTATTTTTAGATTTTTTGTGATTTCAGGACTTCAAGTTTCAATTTATGAACTCAGTTAGCATTTTGGAGAAGCCATTGAATTTGAAGTACATTCACTCTAGAGGAGAGGACAAAACAACACTGGATGGGACATTGGTATTTGATTCCGCGAACAAGTTGTCAGTCAGTCATAAGCTGGGTTCGGGAGGTTGTAAATTGAAGTATAGTTATGTTCATGGAGGACTCACTACTTTCGAGCCGAGTTATGATATAAAAGAGGATTCTTGGGATTTCGCAGTGTCGCATAAAGTTTATGGGAATGATGTTTGTAAGGCAACGTATCAGACGCTGAGTAGGAATTTGGGGCTTCACTGGTCGAGGAGTTCTAAGCTAGGTGGATCGCTTAAGGTACAATTATTTTGTTGTTTGAGATATATCATTGATATAGACCTGAATAAAGTGGATTGGATAAAGATGATTTATATAACTCATACGATACAATTGATAGATTGATCAGTATCTTCTTGGTTGCCTTTTTTGAGTGAGTAATAGAATTGGTGTTGTTTGTCTGATTCTAAAGATTATTTTGATTTGTACAAGATTTGATGGTATCTTGATTGTGCTTGCTGTTTAAAATCCTTATAGGTGGACAAAGCATTGAAAATTGATAGTATAGACGAGTTTTGAGAAAATCGATTACAAAGCTATCTTCTAGTATAAAATTGAAGAACCCATTTTTTTACTACACTAGTCCTATTAGAATGAACCATTTACTCCACTTTTGATAGGATGTTCCATAAGCCAAAAAAATGAATTAATGCCTGCCAGTCCGTTGTCATCCTTGCGGGATTCTCTGCAGTGCTTACACAGTGGAATAGTCCACAATAATAGAATTGTTAGCAATGGAAACAAGTAGGCTCGAGGAGTAGGAAGTGTGTTAAGGGGTTCATACATTAGGCGGTGGTGCACTGTCAAAATGCCTGTTTAATATCGGTTTTCCATACTCTGCCTAGGGAGAGCCTTCCCATGTGGCTGCCTCTTTTATAACACTTCTACATAAAACGAAACATGAAACCATGTTATCTTGGGCTAATGGTATGTTGGAGTAGTAAGTGGACGCGTACTTTCTTTGCACTATTTTGTTTAAAAATGGGTCACTCGTTAATCATTTGAAGGTGTTTGCTCTGCTTAAGACGTCTTGCCCCTCAGTCCTATGCCTGCAAGACATCACATGTTTTAGGGATTAGTCGGTTAGTAGTTTTCAAGGCTACAAGTTTGAGAAAATATAAAAGAACGGAGGTGGATTTCTGGATGACACATACCATCTTACAAGCAACTGTTATGAGCAAAATGAGTTATTCAACGCTTCCTCTTCCAGGCTTGTGTCGTGAATTAAAAACATGCACCAGTTTATGTTAATTGTTTGATTTGTTGTTGATTCGCGTTCTGTGATTCATATCATGTTTGTGTGGCATGCCAAAAATATAGTAACTGATTTATAGTTGGCCAATCTCGTTGGTAAAATGTTCTCTTTCGTTTGATCTTTTGATAGCTAACGAAGAATCCAAAATATATACTACTATGTTTTTGTTATCGTGTTGTTGTTTCCCGTCACTGACATAAACAATTCTTGTCTCCAGGTTTCTGCATCTGTGTGTTTGGACGATGATGAACTTAAATTGCCAAAGTTAACTGCTGAGACTTCGTGGGACTTTGACTCGTAATTCTTTCTGTATTTTCATTTGATGATTTCATATAGTTGTTGTATTATTCTCTAGTGTCCTGTTTAGTCTTTCCATGATAACTCAAAATTTATGATCAAGATTTGCCACTACATTATACTGTAGAACTTCAGATTTCTTGATAAAGTGGGCATATCTTAGAGATTGTTTCTGCTATACGCTCGACTCAAGAAACAACACGTACCTATTATAATCCCGCAAATAGAAGTTTATACTATGTGAAGATTTTATATTATGAACTTCTTTTGAAAAAATAAAATAAAATATGATGCAAATAATTTATATTTGTGTTGAATAGGTTGTACTCTTCCGTATAAAGTTGAGCAAGTTGTCAACATTCATTGGTCCCATCTATAATTTATATGGATATATGTAATAATATATACAAGTATTAATTCAGTATGTGTGTGAGCTCACTATTCAATTTTCTTTATATAAGGACACTCCATCTAGATTGCTTCAAATTATGCTACTGTTTGGTCATAGATTTTCAAATATTATTTTGGTGAAAATTTGAGTGAAATTTCACCATGTGTTTGACCATAATATTTAGGAAACATATTTCACTTTTTTAGACAAATATGATTTATACTCATATGTTTTAAAAAACTATCAAAATTAACCATAAGTTTATATTACAAGTCAATTGGATCTTCGTTGCAACAAATAACAAGTAGTGTCCATGATACTGGAGCAATGTGGTAGTTTGGAGTGAGTGCAACAAACATCATTCCATACATCGTGAAGTAGACAAAACACATAACTTTGTTACCCTGAGCCAATTGTTCATCATTTTCATCAACAACCATATCATCACTGAATATTCACTGAATATTTCATCACTACTTTGATGTTCACTTAAAAAATTATGTAATACAACGCAAACAATTACTATAGATGGTGTTTTTTGTAAAAGATAAAAGTTTGGTGTAAAATTTCAATTTTTAAAATATCCCAAATAATGATATTTGACCGAAATACTAGAAAAAACTAGTATTTGAGAATTTGGGATATTTACCAAAAATATTTGCCAAATAATAGCAAATTCTATGAACAAACACTATTTGCCAATTTTTCCCCCAAATATTATTTTAGAAATCTATGGTCAAACGAGTCCTACAACTGTCTCATTTCTATTTATGATTTCAACATTTTTTTTTAATCAAATGACATAAAGTTCAAATTTATTTTTATCAAAAAATATGTTATTATTAGAAGAAAATGTCACAACCCATACAATCTGGCATTGACCTAACTTATAAAGAACTTTAGGTTACTCCATTTTTTTAAAGGTTTTGGAATCGAATTTCACTAATATCCATTAAAAAATGATATCATATTATGAACTTGATACATAACTCAATCTGAAAATCAAGTTTAAGAAGTGAGGATTGCCTAAAACCAGATAAAAATAATAATCCTCCTCATGCCATTGATATGATAGTCAACACCCCTCAACACCCATAGCTGAACATCTAGAGCGTGAACAATCTTATATGGGGTCCAACATTGGTAAATCAAGAATTGTGATGTGCCTTATTATGATATCCCATTTCATTTAAAAAATTTAACTTATTTGATAAAATATACTTTTATTATTTAATTATATTTTCAATATCGATCAACCAATTAAGAAAATTGCTAAATTTTTACAGAAATCGTCAATAAACCAATAACGCTTTTCTCGATTCAATTTTGAAGGTGCTACAACTAAACTCAAAAAACCCAAGGGAGTGAAGTCCAATTGCTTTTACAACACGAGGAGGGGTATCCTATAATTTAATCCAAATATGTTTTTTTCTCCGTTTTTAATTGCTAACCATATATGTAAGCATTCCAAAATTGAAAAGTCAAAACTCTTCATTGGTGATTATTAGGGTTTGTTGGTTGGGGAAGATTAACTGAGCCCTTTAGCTCAGCTCAAGAGAGAGAAAGAGAGAGGAGAGAGAAGCCTCCAACCTAACAAACTCAAGATTCATATGAAGGCAAATCAAGAAACACTTGGGGCATTTAAAGAACATATTATTTGGAGCTCATAAGTTTTTCTTTTTGTTTGCTTGTGATTTTATATGGATTTTGTCATCTGGGTGTTTGCTTCCTGCAATTATTATTCATAAAGGTGCAATCTTTGAACCCTTCTTGTTTGTTTTTGTAATGGGTAGTTGCTTAAAGCTCTGATCTTTTTCATTTTTTATTGAAAATTGTTGAGTTTGTGTGATTGTTGTGTTTGTTGTTCTCTTGTAGTTTGCATATACCTCCACGAGGTAGTGGTAAGGTCTGGTGCACTATACCCTCTCCAGACCTCACCTGGTGTGATTTCACTAGGCATGTTGTTGTTGTTGTTCTATAAAGGTGTGAAGTTTGGACCCCTTTATGTTTGTGTTTGCTTTGATTTTCGATGTCCATATTGTATATTGTGATCTCTTTCTTATGTTTAACTTCTGCCTATATGAGATTCACATTGCTGGGGTGCGATGCGTTCCTAAATTATTGAGTATTGGAATGAAACATGCCCAAATAGAGTAGAACGGATATACGAGATTTATATCAGTGATCCAACTAGATTAAGTTTAGAGAAAGAGTTTTGTACGCTCTTGGTGGTGTGGAAGTGTATTATTTGCATTGATTGAGGACGTGGATATTTGGGATTGACCACACTTAATGAATGATGCATGTTGAGTTTCTTAGTAGTGGGAATGGCAATGAGTTGTGGGTGGATTCAGACATGGATCTTGGAATTCTATCAAAGAAAGAAAAAATGTATTTATGGGAATGGATCAAGTTGAACCTGAATAGAGTGGTGTAGACGTATCATGTATATAACCAATTCCAACTAATTTGGAATTGGGGTTATCTGATAATATTATGGTTCTTTATTCTTTTTCTATGAGTGGGCTATGTCTTTAGATGATTAAGCAATAGTTTCTTCGTGCTCCTTTTATTTAATTTAGTTGGTTTTGTATTTGTGTGGCTCTTCTTGATTAGTTTTAACTTTAAGATGAGATCAAATGATACTCTTCCAAACATAAACTACATATGCATTAATGTTTAATACTACTATTGAGTACAGTTAATTAACCAAAATATTCATGGTTTCTTTCTCATAATATTCTTCTTCATGTTCAGTAGGTGTCTGGATTCTCAAAGTTATATCGGAGAAGGGGGGGTAGTGCATGAGTTGATGCTTGTTACTAAATGTAGTGAGCGTAATGATAGTTTTTGTGTATAGTAGTGGTGGTTGTGTTTTTTCCTATAAAGAGGTCCAAGCTAATCAGCTGTGGTTAGTAAGCCGACATGCCGAGTAGCTATCTTTTTAGATTAAGCCGGGCAGCTAGACAGGGACTCCAGAAATCCATTTCTGGGAAAGAAAGTGGGCTCCAGGATTCAGTTGAGATTTTGGTTGCCCAAGGGAGATTGTTGTTTGGCAATTCAAAGTGCTTCTATTCAGTACCATTTGCAAGACCAACTGACCTGAATGTGCTTGTCCAGCCTGGAACCTTAGCTGCCGCACAAACGAATTTGCACGTAGTAAACCAGAAAAAGAATATTTCTGTAGTTGGAGCTATTTCTCGTGCAGTTTCAATTCCTTCTGTGTCAGGGCCAGCATTTCACATCTGTGGCTATCACATTGATCACGTGATATCGGACCCTGCTAAAAGTTTGTCTGACAGCGACTCTCACAAAGCACCTATGGAAATCTGTGGTTCTCGAACTTCTCCTCCTGGTTGTTCCTCAAGCAAAATGACTTCAAGACATCTCAATGGTGTTCTTTCTGTAAATAATCCTATTACCTCTTACAGCAATAAAAGCTTTGATAATTGTAGAAAAGCCAGCATGAGTTTGAGAAATAAAAATCAGCCCAACAACTTTTTACTTTACGGATATTTCGCATACAATGTAGCAAAGAAACGGGGAAATTCTAATCTATATGCAGGCTTTGGTTTGATGGGGTTCCATACTTCATCAACTGCTTCTTCTTCTACTGGCACTGCTCATGATGTGTCATTTGGTAACTCTACGTGTGGGGTGCAGCTCTCAAGTTCAGCGGATTCATCTGAACAGTATGCTTCCTTTCATAACTTTCTATTCTTTTTCAACCTTGTATAGCTGAAATACAGGGAATTCATGTCATTTCATACAATACAAAAAGAGAAATATGCAAACTACATATGTGGAAGTGAAGGAATTATTATTGACTTGAACACTATCCTCAGTAGATAGAAACTTGACATCTTGTTGTTAAATAAATTTAAGGAAATTGGTGTGAGTAGTGCTTAAATTTTTGAAAGTATTAGAAGTCCTTGGAATGTAGTGTTATCTCCATAGTTTATACCAGAAGAAAATTCAAGAACTCAAGGATTGAGAAAATTTGCCACCTTATGAACTTCTGCACCTGAAGTAGATTAAGAATTGAAAGAAGTCACGTGTTAGATTGCGTCGGTTGGGATAATATTTTCTTTTATTTGCCTGTGCTTCAAAACCATATATGCCAATATCACAATCTGGAAACTAAAAAAGAAAACACAAAAATGACTTGAGAAGTATTAGAATGTTAGACCTTAGATGCTCCTCAACTATCTTTGGTTGAGGCATCGTTGTTAGTGTTGTCTGTTATGAGAAAATATTAGATGCTTAATACAATTTATCTACCACCATGAGCAAGCTACTAGCTAATTTCAAAGTTGGAACTTGAGTAAAAAAGTACTATGTAAAAGTTAAAATCATCCTGAAAGTTTCTCAAGGCTAGCTACTGTGAGGAAAAAAAACAAAGTTCAAAGCTCTGACAAGCTTATCTCTTGTTCGAAACATTTCTTTGAGCTGGCATCCATCTCTGTGGAAGATTAGTTGGATTTATATCATATCCCACTTATTTGTATAGAGGAAAGTGTGGCTTACCTAATACCTTTTGCTATAGAGTACCGATATTTTTGCTTAGTCATTATGTAGATCTCGAACATTTTGTATATTCTCTCCTTCATGTTCTGTAGATTGCTTATCAAAAGAATATATTGCATTTACTTTTACATTGAAGTGAGAAGTCTTTCTATTCATTCCTATAGTTGCTTTGGTCCAATTGCAGGAATATCCGCATTGACAGAACCCTGAAACTAAATTCCGGATCATGTTACCTGCCTCA